GCAACATGATCCAAATGGAACTAGCAGCAATTGTATGTCCTACCTTGAAAGTTGGCCACAAGCGATCTTCCATTTTTTTCAGAGAAGAAAATCAAGCGCACAGTAAAGCAAAGTAATGATAGTTTGTGATAACAGATAGTAGATATTGTTCAAATGGTTGACATTAAGGATACTCGAAGAACACATTAAGGATAATGTGTAATGAGAGCCAAAGATGTACCATATAATGACCTAAGAGTTTAATAAAAAAATTACATAATAAATGAAAGCGATATGATAATGCATTTACTTCATTGAGCTCCAATTCAAAGTGTTATGTTAAAATAGATGAAGTTGCATTTGCACGTTACCTATGCTCATGAAACCACTTTAGCATTCTTCCCAACAAAAAATTAATGAGCTGAACAATGGAGTATTCTCGTGATACAGCATCGACATTTTTCATGGATTTAGCGGACGTCAGGATCAAATAATGATTAAAATCGGAACATGACTGCGCTCACTTCTCCTCGCCAATTGCATAGGGATATCCTTTAATTATCGGTTTAATTCTAGAAGTGATTACAATTCATCTTTGATGTTGCGCGTGCAATACATAGAACTTCCAGTAACGCAACAAATGAAAGGCTCAAAGGGTGTGAATGCTTCAAGATCAATGGAACCATAGTTATCACGGCATCGCCTAGACGTCCAGGCGGCATGTTTTTCTCACCGTGGCCAATCAACTTGCCTAAGTTTCAATACCTCGCCTACGCGTCGCCATTCGGAAGACTTGGCGTCCAGGCGCAGCGCCGTAGACGACTAACGCCATGAAATTAAAAAGTCTTGTTTTTTAAAACAAGTCGTCGGGTCAGAAGCCCAACTTTACTCCAAATTAAAATAAAACCCTACCTCTTTCCATAGCTCCCCCAAACTTGCCGCGTTCAAATTGTGATCACGTACCTCCTCTATCTATCGCCAATCTCCTTGTCATCTCTTTCGATCACATCTCATATTCTCGCATCAGTTTTATTTTGTTGGGTTTCGAACCCTTTTTTGTAATTGGGTTTCGATCCCTTGTTCTTAATTGAGTTTCGAACCCTTATTCTGTAATTGGGTTTCGATCCCTGTAATGAAATATTTGCACTAAATAGCACTAAAATTAAGTCATTTCTCTAAATAGCACTTAAACTGTTTTATTCCCTAAATAGCACTTAATAATGTCCTGAAGGAGGAATAATGTCCAGTGATGGCGAACATTTACTTGAATAATGACTAATGGATAATGACTAAAAGTGCTACATTGGGAAAAAAACATATATGATGCTATTTAAGGAAAGTCATTATGTTTTAGTATTATTTAAGTAAATTCCCTCTGTAATTGGGTTTCGAACCCTTTTAAAATATGTGTTTTTGAATAGGTTTATAGAGCACACATGTCATTTTTCATGTGGATGTTAAACTTGGATGAATTTTAAATTTAAACTTTATCATCTACAACATATAATATATAAGTTATAATGTGTTATATTTATACCAGTGTTACTAATGTATAAAAAATCGTCATGGACTCTACTTGTCTCCTAATTGTCACCTAGGCGCCTAGGCGTCATGGCCTAACATGGGCGCCGCGCCGCGCCGCACCTTGGCGACATGATAACTATGAATGGAACACATCATTTCTAGTTCATTTTCCGTTGAATTTCAAAAGAAGAAGGATGGGACTTGACAACGACAAATTTGGAAACGAGACCAAATGCAACAACGAAGAGACCTGACAACAACAAATTTGGAAACGAGACCAAATGCAACAACGAAGAGAACATGATGACAAAAATAACAAGAAAATGCGATAAAAGTAAAAGGATGAAGAAAACGATGAAGAAAAGGTGTTGCACATGGGAAAAGGAAATTGCACAAACATGTGTTTAATGACTACAGAGATAAAATAGGTATTGCCTAAATTATAGAAGTGATCTTCTAATTAAGTAAATAGAATTAGAAATGGAAGGGGGCAAATAATTTGAAAGTTAAACCTGGAAGTTCTTTATAAAATAAGCACTATTAATTTTAAAAAACTTAATTTGTCCTAATTAGGGAAAAGTAACAATTTTTAATCTTATATGGAATAACATAGTATTGATAGAAATTAACAATGTTACTTATATAACAATTAATAATATTAATATTACAACTTTACAAACTTCTTAAAGAAATAAGAAAGTTTTATAAAGACTAAACAATATAAATACGATCAAACTTCTTTCTTAGTCCATAGTCCAACTTCCTGGGTTACATCATCATCATTACCCCAATGCCTAAAAGGCTCGCGCCCATTGCCGGGTAAGGGGGTTCGAATGTACGTCTGATCCTTATATTTAAAACATAGAGTCGTTGTTTCCGGATGACTCATGATGAGCGTAAGTTGCACTGACTACCTGCTACTTTACTATTGAAAGAAGCGCTAAGAGTTGAAAGAGTCATTTTGCTTTACTCTATCATACCCAAAGCCAAAAAATAGTGGATCTTGGTTCACCAGAGAGGATGGAAACGTAATAGTAAAGCGCTATAGTTCCAAAAAATAATAATAATAATTTAGAAGATTAAGGCTCTGTTCGTTTATGTTGTAAAAACAGAGTTAGATTTTGGGAAAAGTGGAGGAGGTTGGAATAAACTAAAAGAAGTTGGAAGAAACTGAAAGGAATTGAAAAACAATAGGAAGGAGTTAGAAAATGTTGAAAAAAATAGTGTTAAAAAAATCACTCATTTAAATAATTATCCAAATAAATATGTAAGAAAACTAATTTTGAATAAAAAAGAAATTCATCTTTGTCCGTGATGGACCGAAACCCCCTGGGTATGTATTTTTTGGTCCAAAATGTATATATGTAAAATATAGAAAAATATATATAAAAGAGCATAGACAATATATTTTTACGTGGAAACCAAATCGGTAAAAACCACGAGCTTTTTTAGGTGGTACCTTGTCAAGGGAAGGAGCTTGTATTATGTATTTGGAGATATTTACATAATACATTGAAGGAGCTCCATTAATATAGGATGAAGCTCCAAACTACTTTGTGAAGAAGAAGCCTATATACAAAAGAGAGAGTATTGTATACGATGTGTTTGAGGTGGTATGCTATAAATTTGGATATATGATGTTATTGTAAATTCATCATGTGTAAATACTTTTCTTTAGCCGTTGTTGGAAGAAATTGGAAGGAGATGGAAGAAACTACAAGGAGTTGGAAAAAGTTTCCTTTTCAAATAACACATTATCAAAATATAAAAAAATTAAAAAATAGAATATTAAAAAAAGTAATATTTAAATTGCATAAAAACACTTGATGTCTATTTTATACACAAAATTGTAACAAAATTAAAATAACTTAAAAGATTAAGGAACAAAAAATTAAAAAGTTTGATGCCTTTTACTTTGTTATTATATGGCCGTAACAAATAAAATAAAATAATAGGGACGATGAAATAATTTACCAAAGTTGTTACATTGAAAATGTTAATGCTCTATCACTTCTTTTGTTTTTTCACAAAACTTGTTTGTAAAAAAAAATCAAAGTAACAAAAAATTAATAACTCAAAAAGGAATAAATATAACAATTTTGATCTCATTTTATTTTTTATTACACACAAACATAATAAAACATTTACATAGATTATAATTTTGAAAGGAACAAAAAATAATCAAAAAATTGATGCCTTTTCCATTTTTTGATACACGTAATCATAATAAAATATGAAAATAAATTACTCAGTGGGATATTAAAACCATTTAAACTTTACATTACATAAACAATTAAGTACATTAGAAGATGGAAACGAACAAAATATAATTTAAAAGGCTTGATATCTATCCCTTTTTTATTAAACATAATCATAACAAAAAATAAAGTAAATTAGAGGATTAAAAACAAAAAAAGGCATTAAGCCTTTTCCTGTTTTACCACACAACTCATTAAAATAATGATAATATAAATTAGGAGATTTGAAAGGATCAAATAAATTCTCCCTTTGTCCCGCAAGAGTATTCCACAATTGACCGGGCATGAAGAAAAGTGAAATTGTGTGGTTTAAAGTGATGCAGAGGAGAGAGAAATAATAATAATAATAATAATAATAATAATAATAATAAATATTATAATAACAATAATAATAGCCACAAAAACTTTTCCCAAAATGGAACGTGATTTTTTTTGGGATAGATGAAAAAAATGTGGAACATTTAAACGCTTTATGCTCGTCCATTTTCTCAGAGTACACATTTGTAATACAACGCATAATAATAAAAAATTTATAGGAATACAACAAATTGAAAGTTTAAATAAATTAGAAGATTAAACAGAACAAAAAATAATAAAAAGATTGATGCATTTTCCATTTTCTTTAAACACACAACTGTAATAAATATTAAAATAAGTTAGAAGGTTAAACATTTATATTTTACATTACATAAAAATTGATGTATTTTTCTTTTCAATTATACACAATCATAATAAAAATAAAAATAATTTAAAATATTAAAAGGATGAAAAATAATTTAAACAGCTTGATGAGTTTTGCTTTTTTTATTACACATAATCGTAGGTGAAAACTGAAAAGGGTAGCTTGCATAAGAGGGGTTGGGTTGCTCAGCCCGTGAGGCACTGTCCACGTGAAAAAGGATGTGGGCCATCAGACCCGAGAAAGCAACGCAAACCCAAAAAGGCGTGTACTGGAGTTGCTAAGTTGCACCGAGATGGGGATAGAGACTTATACGGGGACGGGGTCGAAGCGTGAAATGCCCAATTCTTTCATAATTTTTAAAGGATTTGGGTGCCGGGACGCCCCCAAGTACCCGAACGGGGATGTTTCGGGATGGGAAGCGGCACCTGTTTAAAGAATCTGTGCAAGATAGTAGAGTTGCGGCGAGGTCAAGGAAGCGAGGGAGGAATCCCCGCGTGATTAGTCCTAATATGTTAAAAGGCATACAGGACATTGACATGTAAAAAGGAACTCAGAGGAAAATATAAATCTATACACGAAAATAAAAGAAATTGCAACTCCTAACCTTTTTAGATTGCTCAGTCTTGCCGAAACATAAGCCAGCTTGGGAACATAACTCGCCACGCGTACCATAAATGAAAGGAACATGTTGTCGAAGGGGGTGGACAAGATGCTCCCACCTCATTTCTAATGGGATCCATTTGCGAGGTGGGAAAACCATTTCAGCTGGTCCATAAAGAGCATGCCAACATACTCCAAAAATGTATTATGACGGCATACCTGTGAGATCATACATATTAAAAATCGAGGAAATATGAAATAGGGTAAAGGTCCTGCAAATGAAGGCGTTTGGTATGCGGGGTAAAATGGGAATTATGTTGTGTTTAGAATTACATACGTAAAAAACTTATCCAACAAAAATTTTCCTCTAGTTTGACCCACCTACAAGATAGTCACCTGCTGAGAGACCCCCATTGAAAAAATCGCCCGTTTCAATCTCTAGTTGTTGTTATTGTCAGAGTGAACTGTAAAAGTAAAGAGTTACATACTTATGTTGCTTGTAAAACTAAATTGTGTTTGCTAACCTGCCAGTAACATTTTTTAGTAACTTGAACAAAAGTATTATCTCCATTGAAATGCTTCAGATCAACACCTCCCAAAAACTAGTTCCCTGGCGGTTTTCGCATGTGGATTTCCATTGAGCCAAAAGAGAAAACATGCACGCAAAAATGATGATGCGGCACCATGTAGTACCTGATATATATATAAATTTATATAAGAGATCAGTAAAATAAGGGCACCTTCATCTTAACATATAAATCATACGCAAATGAAAGAGCATAGGAAAAGCTAAAACATACAGTACCAAAATGGCATTATCTCGACTGAAAACCCATATATTTTATATGATGTTCCTGCATGACAACATATCAGGGCGGGATCTGGGGTATAATTCCAATTTCCCAACTCCACTGGGGTCTAGGGGTCAAGATGTATGCAAGTTTAGTAGTTTACCCCTGTAAAACAGTGAAAACTTTCCATAAGATCCTTGCTGAATTTGCTACCCAAAATTTCAGAGAATGTAAGAACCAAAGATGTTTAATGTGCCATTTTGATTTAGTTATTATTTACTTGATATTTTATGTGTCTTCGAGGCTCTTGATGGGTTTCTCTCAAGCTCTTTTATTGTCTTTTTAAATATTTCAACTTAATAAAATCCCTTTATTTTCCAGAGCATCTTTACACTATCAGATTGTGTACCTCTCGCGTGATGAGTCTGAAAGGCAATAGCATCACATCGTCCCATAAGACAGTAAGCCCAAACAAGCATGTACATAACAAGGGATATCCCCCTTTAATAGGAGAAGCAATATATGTTCACAGAACGTGAGAGTAAAACAACAAAGTACTACATTCCTTTTACTTCCCGTGAGTTCGGCTTAATCTTTGAGGGTTGGTTCTCTTTGCTCTGTAGAGGTTGTGAGACACAGTGCATTTTTGTTTGTCTGGTATCGACTATTCAGGTCGCTCAAGTCATGGAATTATGGACCCAATCAAACCTTAACATAATTTCCATAGTTGCATCTAACTTTTCAGAATATCCTGCTTTATTCAACCCATGTACTAATGTGCAGCACATAGTAAGATTAGGGACACACCCCTGCTTTCCAATTTCATCAAGTGACGCCAATAGTTCAGAAACATCTCCACTTTCACAGAAAGACTCTACTAATTTCTGTATTACTCATCCACTTAATAAACCTTTCTCCATCAATTCATCCCAAAGCTTAAAAGCTATCTGCAACCTCCCTGCTTTGTATAAAGCATCAACCATGGCACTGTATACTACTTCATCAGGCTCAAAACTCTTTGCCACCATTTCGTCAAACAGAGAAAACATCTTTAATTTTTCCCCTATTCTACCGTAGCCAGGTATAAGTGATCTATATGTTACACTTGTTGGCATCAAGTTCCGCCTTAGCATTTCCAAGAGAAGCTCCTCTGTTTCTTTTGCCTTACCCATATTGCACAGGCAAACAATCAAAATATTGTATGTTTCATGATTAGGTGGAATTTTCGTATCAAGCACATCATTTACCAACCCAAGGGTTTCCATGAATCTTCCTGACTTGCAAAACCCTTGAACTATTGTGTTGAAAGTTGATGTGGCCGCAATTCCCCTCTGTACTAATTCATGAACGTGGATGCATCTGGTTGAATGTCCCTTGATTGCATTTCTTCCAACAAATGGTATGCTTCATTTAGACCCCCTGAATTGCTGTAACCATATATAATTGTAGAATATGTGAAGCTATTTGGAGTCAAACCCTTTTCAGAGATTCCATCAAACAAGTCTCTAGCTCTCATGATGTCACCTGACTTGCAAAGTCCACTTATTAAGGCATTATATGTAGTGATATTAGGAACAATGCCCATTTTACACATTTCATCATGAAGAAGAAAAGCCTCTTCCATATTACCAACCTTGCAGAAACCAGAAATAATAGAGGTGTAAGTAAAAACATCAGGATGTAACCCCCTATTAGAGAGTTCAGACAAGAGATTCATGGCTTCTGTCAATTTCCCACATTGAGATAAGCCATTTATAAGTACTGTATATAGTTGCACGTCTGGGACGAGCCCTTGTCCGAGCATGATTCTGAACTTTGCAAGTGCTTTAGTTATATCCCCAGTTTTGCAGTACCCATCAACCAGAGATGTATAACACACAATATGAGGTGCTATACCTCGGTTTAGCATTTCATAAAAATACTTCTCAGCCATTTGTGTTTCACCTTTATTCATGTATCCAGAGATAAAGGGCTCATAAGTGTAGCCATTAGGAATTAATTGCCTCTCCTCCATCTTATTTAAACAAACATGTGCATCTTCCATTCTTCCGGCTTTGCAGAGACCAATAATGATGTAATTATAGCAAAAGACATCGGGCAACATGCATTTCTGCAACATTTCATCCAAGAAATTTTGTGCTTCTTTAAATTTCCCATCCTGAATATAACATTTTAAAATAGGCGCCAAAATAGCAGCACTTGCTCTAATACCTGCATCAATCATTTGATCCAACAAATGGATTGCTTTATTGGGATCTCCAGTCAGACAGAATCTGTTGATAAGGATGCCATAAGTATATGCATTAGGTTCCAAATTTCGTTCTTTCATTTCAACCAATATTTCACAAGCCTTTTCCATGTTATTCTGTAGGCAATATCCCTCAATCAAATAATTGTATGTCTTAGTCTCAGGGCATAGACCCATAGCAACCATTTCAGCCTTCAGATTTATAGCTTCCTCCATCTGACCGACTTTGCAGAGCCCATTCAGCATAATATTATAGGTCACAAGATTCAAATTGATCCCATGCGCAACCATTTCATCCTTTATTTTTAATGCCTCTTCTATATCACCCTCTCTCATGAAACCACCAATGAGTGGAGTATAAGCAAAAGCATTTGGTTTCAGACCCATTTCGCACATTTCCTTCAAGATCAACATTGCTTCCTTAGACCTCTTTTGCTTGCAGATCCCATATATGAGCGAGGCATAAGTATAACTATCTGGCCTTAATCCCTTCTCCACCATAGTCTTATTCAACTCAACTGCCTCTTCAACAAGCCCTGAGCCACACAGCCCTCTGATCACCACATTATAAGTAACCAAATTTGGAATGCAGCCCTCCTCTGACATCTCAAAGAGCAACTTTCTGGCCTCCCTAGCATTCCCAGACTTGCAGTAAGCCTTTATAACATTAGTACAAGTGTAAACATCTGGAGCAATCTTTTTCTCCACCATTGTATTATACACGCTCCAAAACATATCCAATCTGTTCCCCTTTATTAAATCATTCAGCAATGAGTTGCAACACAGCAGGCTAGGTACAAACTCAACATCTTTAATGCCCAAGAACACTGAAACAGCTTCACTCAACATGCCATTTTTCCTAAAAGCATCAATTAGCAACTCAAACACCAGGGAACTTGATCTAGACCTATTACATTCTTCATAGTGCCTCAGCAAAGAGCTTAAAATATCCAAAACGTGATATTTGCATTTGATCATTTTCTCCATTACACTTAACACTTCCCGGTACAGGTTGGAATGACACAATACCACCGCAAGAATCGAAAAAGAATTTACGTTTGGAGAAATACCTATCTTTTTCTTAGACCAATCAAAGAATAAAAGCATGCGCTTTGGTTGGACGGATGATCTGCTTCTGTGAAGCACCAAGTAAACTACGTGCGGGTTGAGCTTTGATGATACTCCTGATAACTCTAAAAGGAATTGCCAATTGGTAAGACCTAAAACCTTGGAGATGTCTTCAGCTGTTTCTTCATTCTTTCTTGAAGTGCTGAGAAAGCGATTCGAATTGTGAATAACATCCTTCACTATCAATCGCCCACTCTTCCATTTATACACTCCCTGCAATAACAAACTATTCATTATATTATGTTTCTTCTCTTTTCTCTTCTTAAATGGGATTTGCCAATTCCCCCTCTTCCCTTCTGTTTTCAAGTCTGTTGTCACTGGCGCTGGTCCACCCTTTTGTTTCTACTACTTTTTTTCCTTCTCAAATGAGATTTGCCGATTTCAAATGATCCTAAAACATCAGCAATTCACCTCTTCTATTCTGACTCTGGTTCGTTATCAAAGGCTGACCCAGGGCATTCAGGCAGTTTACGGTATGGGTTCAATATCTGCAAGACCAGGCACAATCCATAGTAATAAGGAAATGAAGATGGGTAGTATGCTTGAAACTATTTTTATAAAATTGTGGTTGTATTTAAATGTCTTTCCATCATAAATTCAGAAGGAATAAATAACTTAGTTAGCCAATTAGTCAATGAATGATTAATCAATATACTAATTAAAAACATGTGTTTCCTCCATCCTAAAATAAAGTTCACATTTTTTTCTTGATTGTCCTGGTAAAAACCATGTATTTCTCCTTTTACTACTAAAGAATGAAATATGTGTCTTGCCCACTTTTTATTTTTTAACACTTATGCTAAAATTCTGTGAAATCAACTTTCGAAGTATATTTCAGGACGGAGGTAGAATTCAATTACATGAACAAATGAACTTAAATGCGAACAATTACATCGAAGTTTAAGACGAAAGTAGACAATAATGTGAAAATGAACAGAACTAACAATAATGCGAGATCGAACTTCAAATCTTCAATGGCACGACCCAGGCAAGTTAACCCTAATCAGATTCTCCGTAGTTAAAATGGATCAATTAGACACGAACTGCAACAAAAAACAGTAACTCCATAATCGATGCAGATATCTAAGATAGCCTGCCGATGGATTTCCCCAAAACGGAGAAAATTTTCTGAAACTGAATAGTGGTGATAAAACATACTCCCTCCCTCCCAATTTATTTGCAACCCTTCGAACTACGTGCAAAATATCTCTTTTAAAATCACTTTAATTTCAAATCGGTAGAGTAATAAAAAGTAAAAATTACATCATTTAAAAGTATATGAAAAGCTCTACAAAACAAGATGCGACAAAAATATTTTATTTTATCAAATGGTCAACCAAAACGAGTAAACAAACAAAAGTTATCGAGAGACCAGAATAGTAAACGTGACATTCTTTCTGGAACGGAGGGAGTACTGAGTAAATTTTCTAAAACTAAATAATGGTAAGTTTGGTCATCTTAAGGTTGTGATTATTTCGGGTTTGGGGTGGCGTTGAAAATTACACTACATTTCGTATAGAAAATTACTTACGGGTCACACGAGTTTTGTCAAAATAACTTTTCGTTCTCTTGATTTTCAAGAAAACAACAAAGGTACTTACATTTTAATGTAATGACTTTGAGGGGACATTTCATCCAATACTTCATCCATAAGAGTTAATAAAAGCATTTTTTCCTATTTTACCATTACCATTTTTCCTATTTTGCCATTACTCGGTTTTTTTTCTTTTTTAGAAATTTTTTTTATTTCATTAATTTTTATATCATACAAACAATTTTGAATTTTTATACGATTATATAGAATAAATTTTAAAAAAACACTCTAAAAAGAGTAACAAAAAACATAGAAATAAAAAAAGAGCGACCTAAGAGTTATTGTCATAAAATATTAAGAAAAAAATATATTTATTAACGTTTATGGATGAAATATTGGATGAATTGTTCCCTCCCGGTCATTACAACAAAATGTAAGGACCTCCGTTGTTTTTTTAAAAATAGAGGGACCTGAGAGTTATTTCAAAAAAACTCGCATCACCTTTCTGCATTTCGTATCCGTGCGTTACATGAAAGAAAATTTAATTTACATTAATATACAACATTTTTAAGAATTAAAGATTATTCCAAGTAGCATGAACAATTCTAAATTTTTACAGATAGTTATAAAAGACAAATGTATTATGAAGTATGTTAGAATTCATGAAGTACGAAGTGCATTACAAATAATTACTCCGTAATAAAGTATCCATTTTAAATTTTGAAAAATTCCATTAAAAATAAAATTCAAGCATATTTAATGTAAAGTTTTTAATAAGTTGTTTCACCTCTAAAAGATGTTCTAAAGTTCATGTGGAACACATGCGGAGCACTAGTTATTCTGTTTGCAAACAAGTTATTTAGTGAACCAACCCCAACTAAAGATATTCTTAGTAGTCATGTGGAACACATGTGGCTAATTTTTGAAAACTTCATTTTTAGCTATCAAACTTCAATTAAACTATATGAAAATATTCTCCAGAGTTTATAATTCATCTTGGTATCATTAATTCGAAGTTTTAACAACAATTTCAAGGTTTATAATTTTTGGTTCTTCAAGCATGTCAAACACAAAACTCAACCAAACGATGTTTATGAACGTAGAAACGATCTATACGAACATTTTAATCCCTAGAAATATCTAAGGACTTACTTCGCGCGAAAATGGAGGTTCTGAGAAAATTTCAGTGATGATTACTATCAACACCTCTACGGCAACCGACTATTGTAGAATGCTCTACCTCCTCACTCTCAAGATTCTAATGAGACTAATTTCCGAAAGGATGGTGAAGAGATGAGAAGGTTGGGTCTTCTTATACAGTAGAGGAGAGGAGGAAAAAGCCAGGCCAATCTCTATGGGTTTCGTATCACTGTGATCATAGAATCGAGATAGTGGAGCAGGAGGCATCGTTTGTACACATCGTCCTCGATTGAGACTAATTTGGTCATAGTTGGGGTACACTTTTTGTTCTAATTTTCTCCGAATTAAAATCCATTGCACTGTTGCGATCAGAAAGTCAAACTTTATCCAACGATATAATTTTATATTTATTTGTAATGCTTTTTCCGACATTATATTTTTGAGTGTTTGACTTTGACACAGTAAAAATGATTTAATTAATGCTTTATTCAAAAATTCTCATATTCAATTCTGATGGGAAATAATGCGTGGCTCGGTTCACATTTTCCAATTATTTACGAAAAATACTCAAACTATGTCTATTTAGTAAAATGAAGGAATAAGAGAATATTCCTCCGAAAATGCTCCTCATCCTTCCTATAAAAGAGAAGTTTGCCCTCAAAATAAAGGAAGTCAATTCGTTCTCTCTCCCTGTCCAATTTTCTCTCTCTAGATTATGATATATTTTCTTCTTCAATTCAAGAGCTTTAGCTCCATTATTAATGGCTTTTAAGTCTAAATAATGTACCGTATACAACTCGCGATATTAATAAAAATCCCATGTTGGCAAGGTACCGCCGAAAAAGGCCTGTGGTTTTTTCTCGATTGGGTTTCCACGTCAAAATCATTGTTTTATATTTTGGTGTATTTTTTAGACTAGTTTATCATTTTTTCCTGGCTAAAAACGATATAACGGCCGATAATTTACACCATCAAATTCATATTATTTATTTTCATGATTTACTTCAATAAATTATCTCAAAAGTTCACTTCATAACTCAAATTCTTTATTTATTCTTGATTTGAGTATATACTCTAGTTTTCAATCAAGATCGCATAAACAATCAACATATTGAATTTTTATCTCCATGAGATTAATCCAGTTTGTGATATTGAATATCAACACATACGATTTCATTCTAAGACCCAACAATAATTTATTTTAATCAAAATAAATTTGTTTAATTGAATAGTAATTCAATATAACTTTTAGAGTGTGTTTTGGAGCGTTACACATTCGAATCGTTCCGTGTCTGTAAATGTCAGTAAGAGTGTGATTAAAAGTGGGGTTCAAATCTTGGGGTCTTCAACTAGATGCGGTAAAAAATGATCGATCAGTTTTTTTACCTAAAACCCAATCCAAAAACACTAGGATTTGAACAAATGTTTTGATGACTGAGACCTAAATTGATCGAACTTGAAATGACCTGCTAAAAATGGGTTAAACCCGACTGAACCTGACCTGACCGACCCGCTAATGTAAGAGTTGTTTTAAAAATTATATACTTTACTATGAAATATAATGTCATAAAAATATAGTTATAATTATATTTTTTCTTACTTCTTGTTTTTAGTGTACAAATTTATATTTTCTGATAAAATTTTAATGATATTGCATAATTATTTTGCTTTTTATTTCTTTATATTGATTTATATATTTAAAAATTACTCCATAATTTAAAATAAAATAATGTAATATATTTAATGCATAGTTTTTTATATTTAAAGTTTATTCAATGCAAAATACAAGTGTTAATATGAATTTATAAATTTAAAAAACCAAAGTCATAACCGATTGGGTCGACTCAAACCCGATAACACAGGGTCATGAATATATAGTTCTCAACCTGAACCCGAAGTGACCGAACACGAAACTGACCTGACTGATCGATTTGCTAGCTCTACCCTCAACCATAATTTTAAAATATTACTCCCCCCGTCCTAAAACGTTCTTCTTAGTTACTACTCATACGGTCAACCTTTAATCACTTTCTTTACTTATTTTCGTTAGTTATTTGATAAAATAATATAATCTTGTCACCTCTTATTTTGTAGAATTTTTGATTTAGTTTTTAAATATATAAATTTTATTTTTTAATTTTACACCTAGAATTAAATAAATTAAATTGAAAATAAAATCATTCAAACATCATAAACAGAAACGGGAAAAATATTTTAAGACAAAATGAGTACGGAAAAAATATTTTAGGAGGGAAAAAACATACATTAGCAAAGTTGGTACAAGTATAAAGTTGGACTGGAATCCACCCGCAGCTTCTGAGTTCGGGCTCGTTCGAACGAGGGCTTCAAAATTCGGAGTTAGGGCTACAAGAAAGGGGATCTGAAGTTCCCGCCTTCACTTCACACAGAACCATGGGGAGGAAGGTAAAGAAGCTGGATACGGGAAACCCCATATCGGACCACTGCTATGGAGAAGCAGGGAGTCTCAAGGCGAACATCACAAAATCCGAAAACCCTAAGAAAAACGAGAAAATGACAGTGAAGATTCAAGTTCTGAGTCAAAGCGCACAAAAAATTCCTCCGATTGTAGGGTACTTTCCATCTGGTTTCGATCCGTTGAAGGAAAGTATGGAGGACGACGAGACGGAGAACACCAGTGGACCGGTAAGCAGGGTTAGTTTGTTCAAAAACACAAAAAGGACCAATAGGTTTCAGCTCGTCGTGAGCGGGTCTCAGGTGAATTTCGTCGGTACAAATTTTTCCGGCGAGGCTACGGCGGCGCAGAGCTGTAGCTACTCTATTGGGGTGCTGGACAAGGAGACTCAGACGCTTAAGATCGTTCCTATTGCTGGAAACATGGTAAAATTGTTATCTTTTTCGCGAGGGTTGGGTTTAAACTATGATGTGTTTTATCTATCTTTGTGAATTAATCATGTAATTGTAGATTATAAGACTGGATCCTAAGATAGATGGAGAAGAAGAAGAAGAAGATAATACGGCCAAGCGAGAAATGACTGAAGAGGAAAAGAAAGCCCAAAAGAAAGCTAGAGAGATGATTCTTCCCAAGAAGACTGTAAATCTGGTATTTATGCATCTGAATGAGATTCCAGAAGGAGAAATTTTATCAGATAATTGATTTGGATTGCAATTTCATGATGCAATGATTTGCAATGGTAATTATTGATTTGCAGGACAAGAAGATTGAAACACTACGTCAAGGTGTTAATGCCGGTGGGGATCATGTAATAGAAGGGAGCAAACTCTTAAATCAAGATGCACTTGAAGAAGTTCCTTTCACGGATGATTATGATCGGAATATCCCACCGTATGATTTGGCTGCCACTACACCCGAGACAGCATATCCCCTGCACAAGATTATATTCAAGGGAGAATGGGATTACCTTACAGATATCTTTGACCTTTCCGAAGCTGGAGAGCGCATTAGTCCTAATGCTTATCCAAGCTTTGTTTGCAACAGAATGCATACTTTGGCTGACATTAAGGTAATGAAAAATGTGGCTGGCCGGTTCGCATCTTATCTTAAATACTCCTTGGCATTTATCTTGTTGAATTATTATTTTTCAAGTATGCTATCTAATAAATATACATGTGTTTGGGAGCCTGATTAAATTTGATCATGTAGTAGTAATAAAGATGTCATGAAATATTAGATAAAGTGAAGGATAACAATAAACGACCCTCCAACCATTTGAAAAGATTTTTTAAATTTTTTTTTACTGAATACCCTTGCGTAAAAATTTAGAAGTAAAAGACCATTTGCTTTAGAACACCAGTTTTCACAAAATTGGAAGGTAAATTAACATTTTGAGTTAAATTTAATATCAATCCCATGACATGGTTGTGTTCTCTCGAACAGTCATAATATTTCCTTATTAGGGGTTTTGGGATTATGATACAGAGTACTTCTTATCCAATAAAAGGGAAGCCTGGTACACAAGGCATCCCGAATTAAATTAGTCACTCCAACCTTTATTATGACCCATAAGTATTGAACTATTCTCACGTGTTACTAAGACGGATTGTTATTAATAAACCAATACGGCCTTTTTTGCAAAAAGGCGTTCGTTTTCACACGTAAAACTGCAATTTCACCCGCTTCTGGTTTCAATTATGTTACAGAGTGAAGAGGAGCGGCGAAAGCTGGCTAGAATCTTTTCATATATCACTCATCTTGTCAAGTTCAAGGACAAACACTCCATGGATGGTTTTCAATCTGCCAAGAATCACAGATTTCCTAAGATGTTGTTCCGGAAGTTCTCTTCGATGTTTTGTGTACCCGAATCCAAAAGACTTCCCAATGAAAAAGTTGATCTCCTCATCAGTTATGTGCTCGTGCTTACTCTATATGCTGACAACTTCCGCTCCAATCCATCCGACATAGCCAAAGACCTTAGAACAATAACTGGACATTTAAGGCCTCGTCTTGAGTTGCTGGGTTGCAATTTTGTTCGTGACGAGAAAAGAGGTCATCTGGCCACCCTCTCTGTTCCTCTCACATTTCCAACAGTAAAGAGGAAGAGAAAGCGAGGGTAGATATTTGGTGTTTTGTTTTTCTTGCTCTAGAAAAACCATCTAGAAAGTCATGTAAGTGACATTTATTTTGAGAGAATTGTTGCCATACATGTGAGGGGAAGCTCTGTTTGGTTAATGTTACCTTTCTACACATATTTGAGTTTAGTATCAACAACCATGATAGGGGTACACCAAAAAGTGTACCTAAATTTATACCCCAAGAAATGTACCGACATTTTAATGGTTCACACTGACACAAAATGTTTGTTCAATTAAAAAAAATTGTACTGACATTTTTTGTCAATGTAAATCAATACATGAGAGCGAAGGCTCCGATAGGATGTAAAAATAACAAGTAATGCTTTATTTCTTGTATAAATTCAAACATTTTTCACGAGCTTGCAAATATATTTTTTTTTGTAAAAGTCCAATTCTTTTATATTGATTATGTGTCAATGTTTATAAAATAAGTGTGGACTTAAGGTTTATAAAATAATTTGCCTTATTCTTAAAACATAAGAATTGACAAACGAAAAAACATGGCGAACATTCAGATGAACACACTTTCAAATATAGTGCAGAGAGGCTATTGATGTAATATTTTTCATAGGAGTAAATTTATAAATTATTAGTATAATTGTTAAAGTTCAAGGCGAAACTCTAAATTGGTTATGGTAGAATTTAGCCAAATCACTTGAAATGTGTGAATATAATCATTTTAAGTGTGAATTTAGTAAAATTATTTTACTAAATTATAGATCCACTAAAATAAACTCCTACTTAGGGTTGTAAATGAATAACCAAAAATTTGATTACCGTCCGCATCCTTATCCGTTTATATGGATTCAATTTGCATCCGTTAAAAGCGGTTATTATCCATATCTGATTAAGGATATCCGATTGCTAAACGGATACGAATTTGGTAATCATACATCCGATCCGTTTATAATCCGCTCTGCATTTACATCCGTTTAAATAAACGTTTATCCGTGTATTCGATCCGTTATACATAGTTTTTCCTAATTTTGATTTTTATATTTTGCTTCTTTATTGATATCTCAAAGTATAAGACATTTTTATATGCAAATATATGTGTAGACATATAAAATATGTGTATATATGTATTATGTATATCTTTTTATGATATAAAGTCATAGTAGAATATCATAAACTATATAAAAAAGAAAATTATGCCTCATTTAATAATATTTTGATTTAGTTTAATTGAAAATTAAAGTACTGTTTAACTTGGTTTTAAAAACTAGATACAGATATACCCGGAATATTTGATATTCGGCGAATACGGATACGGTTTTGATTTTCAGTATCTAAATTCGATATCTAACAAAAATAAACTGATTTGAATAATATCACATTAAACCCCTACTCTTGCAGTCGTGCAGTATTGCTAACTATCGCCCGCATAGATAGGATAAGTAGAAAAGGCGCAGAACTGTAGAAGCGAAAAGGGGCCGGTCGCGCGGAGAAAAACGAGAACAGAGACCAACGTTGCCATTCTTTACTCTCCAATCTACAATTTCCAGGTTTGATTTCTGTAATCTGTTCTTCTTTGTTTGAAATAGGGAGTAATAGATTTATAGTTTGATTTTTTTTTCGAATTTTCCAATTTTTTTTAATGAAATTAATGAATTGCTTGTTCACAGATTCACTTTGTTTGGCTGTGAAAATCAACCGATGAATGCTTTTATTGGCTTCTAATTTTCTATTGAATGCTATATTAGCTATTTAGATTGTTTTTCTAATATATGTTTTCACAAATGAATAGAAATGTGTTTATTACAAATGAATAAAAATAGTTTTTTTAGTTTTAATTAAAAAAATTACATTAAATTAAAATTTAAAAAATAATTGAAGGAGCCCTACCCTACTCCCTACATTTTTTTTTCCTATTTTATGTACTCCATTATTATTTATTTATTTACTCCTTGTTTCTCCTTTTTTTTAGTTGCCTGTAGTTATGGTTCCTAGGACATTGGTATCGGGCTATGGAAAAAATTAAAAGAAAACAAGACTTGAAATACTAACACAATCTCAGAAAGAAGCAATTGATAAATTTATTTTAAAAGAATCTCATGAGAGCCAACAAGAACAAGAGGCTGAAAGTTTTGAAGAACGGCTTGCGTTCAACTATGACTTTTATATCAATTGGATGCGAGAGTTTCGAAGAGATAAAAATTAATACCTTGATTGATGATTTTGCATCTAAATCTGCAAACATGTCTCTTTCTACGTAAAATTTTACTTAGTTTTTTAAATTCATATTTTCATTGTAACAATTTTCAAAATTAATATGAAACTTATTTAAATTTGCAACTATGAAGTACAATGGGGCCACTGTTTTTTATTTCGCACAGGGTCTCTTTGTGCTTCACCGTCAAAGTTCAATCAAGATATGCCTCACAGAGCTAGGCCTATGGCAGGGCTTCTTCTGTTCGTTGGACTAAATGCTGCTTTGGTCTCTACCATTGAGCCTGTCTATGATTTTGTGTGCTTTCTACCATATTGGGAACGAAGGGTAAGCTTCTTATTTCATCCTCCATACACAAAACCATTCTTACTCACCGAACTAATCTTATCCCTAGCTATCACATGATATGATAAATTCGCAAATCGCAATGGAAGCTTGCTATACAAATTGCCAGTTTATCTAGTTGTGACTTGTGAACATCATATACAATAGTGCTCCCCCACTCTTAAAAAAGTTCTCAAATACTCTTTAAAAAATTCACTACTTTAAATAATATAGCGTTGTCACCTCTTGTTTTGTATTTTTTTAAAAATATGATATTTATTTGTTAATCCTAAACCCGAGCGAGGGAATTTGAATTTGTGTAGAATTATTTAACGAGGAAAGAGAAATATGTTGAAGTGATGGAGAAGTTTATGTGTAGGAAAGAGAATTATGTGGTGTTTTGTTTATTAAAAAGAAGTGTTGTGAGGCACATATTCTTTCCTTTGAAAGAAATTAGAGATGTGTTCAGTTCAATTTAAGGAATTCAAACTGAGAGAGTGAAGTTCTTTATGACATGAAGGGAGTGATATAGAACAACTTAAAAAGAAAAGAGTGCAAAGTCATCGGGAACAAAGAGAGTATTTCATTATTTCCTTATGAGGAACCAAGTTTGGCCGGATGAGTTCTATTTGCTGGAATGGTGACTGAATTATCTAAAAGAGTAGTTAAATGTTTTTTTTAAATACTCCATAGTAAATTACATGTAGCATCAACATTATGGTGATAGAAGTGTAGAACTGTTTTTTGTTCCCACATCAGCTATTAACTTCCACACTAGCTTTTCATATTAACATCATATTCCATTAATTTAGTGAAATAAGTTACTTTTAAGAAAATCTAGCCAATATTAACCTGTTTATTACCTTCCCAAAAGTTCTTTACATTCATAACCATTTCATGCCTCAAAAAAAAACTCTGTAATACTTTAGAAGTTAGGTATTTTATCTCAAAAAAAACATTGGAGTGCATGAAGGTTTATTAAACTTGACCAAGATTCTTTACTCTGGACCCTCTGGTCATAAAAACTGTTATAAGCATTTGGTAATCTGCTTTTTGGGATCAAAGTGGTGTGGGTTGACAAAAAACTTGTATTCTAAGCTTTCTAGTTGACAATATTTTTTTTATTTGATTTTTTCTTTACATATAATCCTGATACAACTCACACAAATAACTCAACTTACCAAACTTTTTTTCTCTCAAACAGACATAAACATCCACTCAAACAGTTTACACTAACAGGGTGACAAAGAAAGAACAACCCACTAATATCTATAGTCAAAATCTGATATATATATATATATATATATATATATATATATATAGATTTTGCACATTGCTAATGATCTAATACGGCTCTCTTTATCTCAGAGGGAATGTCGAGTCAAGGAACGTGCTATTGCTGCTTCAGGAAAAGGTTCTGGCTCAGCCTAACAGAGGAAATGATGCCTGATTTTGCTAAAAGGTTAAGTGTTTCATTTGTTTTGTGGTATTGTCTCCTCTTGTACTAAGAGTGTTTGTGCTTCTTAGAAACTCTAGGGTGATGAAAAACTGGAAAATAGAAGCATTTGAAAACACAAATGTTTAAGTTTGAGGTATACATACCTGTTTTTTATATTTAAATTAGATTGATATGTCAATATGTCATATGTGCCATGTACCAGTGACACTTATCAGCATCCTTTTAAGGTAAAAGTACAATGGTCAAGATTTGTATTGTTATGACTTTGTTCTTTTCAACTTGGAGTTTGGTTTAGTTTAGTTAAGTGAGAAGTACCTTTTAGTTCAATTCAGCACATAATCTCATTTTCCTAATTATATTTGATCCAAGAAGTGAAAGGACCAGCCAACAGAATGTAATGACCATTGTAGACAAGAAAATTTAATAAATGGATGCTGCATATTAGAGATTGTGATGACCATTTTGACAAGAAAGTTAATAAAAAGGATGTTTCTTATTGTTTGAGGTTTTCATTTTGTGACAAATTTCAAACAATATTGTTCCTAGTTTTTTTTATTTCACATTTTCTGGCCTTTAGGTTGTATACAGAAGATAGTGTCGTGGACATTATTTGATACGATAGGAGGACATTGAAGTTGCAAGGACGACAATGATGGTAGACGATAAAGGGCAATGGCGACACTGGACAAGAGAGGCGTTGTGATAGGTGGCTGGCGATGACCGTGGAGTAGATATGATTATGAATTAAGGTTTGACGCCTGGAATGGAATTTTGCTATATATTCATATCAAGAAAATGACTATTTTACTCTTATCTAAATAGTTTTTCTCATCACAAACTCAAGGTTATTGAGAGTGAAAGAGTGATAGAGGTGGTCAGGTGGAGGTGCAAAATTTCATTTAGCAAGTTATGTGCATAATACAATGTGTACAACAATGGAAACGCGTGTACAATTTGAAAGACATGATGAACACAAAGTATGTGGAGCGAGACTATTTTATCTGCGTCAAGATTTTGTTGATCTTAAAAAAAATATCCCGGGGAAATCGGGACGGGGTCGGAGTGCGGGGGGGGGGGGGGGGGGGGGGGGGGGGGGGTTT